TACAAATATTCACGGAATCTTTATAGTGTGTGGTTGTAGATTATCTAGGAGAGAGAATCCAAAAACAACAATTATCTAGTTTCGTAACAAGTGTGTGGATACAAAGATTTGAATATCCAGAAGAGAGAATCAGAAACTCACAGAAAGAATGTGAACGAGTTTCATGATGTTTTTTTGTTTTTTGTTTACTTAGAAAGCGAAACTGAAATTATGCCATAGCCATGAAATATGCCAAAACATAACCGAAAAAAAAGAAGAAAAAGAAAAGTTATCTAGAATCTTTTTTTGTGGATTCTCATTGTTGTCACATGTAAGTGTCTGAACATTGGCTCTTCTCTAGCTTAAGTTTAAAGAGTTAATTACTCATCTTAATGAAAGCGTGTGGGTCATACTAATCACTTATGTCTCGTTTCTCTGCATCAAGCCATCAACTGTTGTTGTTTAATATTTTTTTTTTTTGCTAACCAACTGTTGTTGTTTAATTGGTAATCAATTTGTAACGGATAGTTTTTTATTCTAGCGTTTTAAAATAATGATGTAGCTAAAGTAAAGTTGTTTTTTTTTGTTTGATAAACAAAAGTAAAGTTGTTTTAAGAAGATAATAACATTAAAGCAGGGATACAGTTTGGTTAAAAGTAACGATTGAATAATTATAATTTTTTAAACAATGATAACAACTAGATTATTATTTTAAAAAATATTAACTAAAAAAGGTGAAACTGAAGTATAAAAACCAGTAACATATAATAGTCACCAATAGAGGGAGTATTTTAAAGTGAGGATTGTAGACATTTTCTAAGAGGTCCTTATTCGTCTTGTGAACAATTAAAAAACGCTTGTATTTATTTTTTTGATTAGCTAAACAAAACAATTAAGTAAGAAAATAAAATAATTGATTTTATATTGAATTTTTAAACTTGATGTTGTTTACACATACTTTGAAATGTAAAAAATAACTTCTCAACAATAAAAACTAACTAATTATCTAACATTCTTATTTGTTTTATATATTTAAGAATAATTTACTAAAATATATTTAATACGTTTAAATTAGTCAACTATATTGACAATTCAAACGTTGATTCTTCAAATTTACAAAGTTAAATATTTTAACAAATATATTACCATGAATTACTTTAAATAAAAAAAACAGAATTCATGGACAAAAAGGGTCCTTTGACTAGCAAAACTGAATAAGATTGTGATAGAAGAACATGGACACGAGCCCCTGCCTCTTGCAGTTAATAGTCATAGCTACCGAAACGGTTGATAACAATTAATCATATTGAAGACCATCATGTTTGTCTCTAGTGTCTTTTAATTTTGCTATATATAGCTAGATGTCACATTTGAATTTAGGTATTGAACAGCGGAAAATTTTGAATATTTAGGTCTCCTCGACCGTTGAACTGCCGTTGTTGACCATCCCTCATGTTTATTTTTGGAATAACAATAAACAAATCCATAT